AAATCCGCCAGCACCTGCCCTTTTATGGAGGGACGTGGCGCGTACGTGATGTCGTACTCGCTGAGCTCGACCGCCCACTTAGTCATCCTTCCCGAGGCGTCCAAACTTCTGAGTATCTTTTTCAAGGGTAGGTTGGACAGGACAGTGATTGGATGCCCCTGGAAGTAAGGGTGTAGTTTTCTCGCCGCGGATATGACCGCTAGGACCGCCCTTTCAATCGGCATATATCGCCTTTCTGCTGGAAGGAGGGCCTTGCTGACATAGTATACGGGATGGTCTGTGCCATCGGCGTCCCTCCTTACCAGGGCTGAGCTGACCGCTTGATCCGAGACCGCCAGGTACAGATATAGGGGCTCGGCCTGTAGGGGGGCGCTAAGAACGGGAGGGGAGGCCAGCTGTTCCGTCAGCTGGAAAAAGGCTTTGTCGCATTCAGGTCCCCATTGTAGGCGAGACGCGGATTTCTTCAGCATTTGGAAAAAAGGTGAACATTTGTCTGCCGACCGCGGGATGAAGCGGCTCAGGGCGGCTATTTTTCCATTGAACGCCTGGATTTCTTTCACCGTGCGAGGCGGTTTCAGGCTGAGTATTGCTTCAATCTGCTTTGGGTTTGCCTCTATGCCCCTGTTAGTGATCATGAATCCTAAAAACTTTCCCGCTTTTGCTCCGAACACACATTTCAACGGATTGAGTCGGAGGCGCTCTCTTCGAAGCGTTTCGAATGTTTCCCTTAGATCGGCCAAGTGATCGGCCCCTCTCTTGCTTTTGACTAGGACGTCGTCAACGTAGGCTTCCACGTTTCGGCCCAACTACTTCTGGAACACTGTATCGATCATCCTTTGGTACGTCGCACCTGCGTTCTTCAGACCAAAAGGCATGACCGTGTAGCAGAAATTGCCCATGTGCGTCATGAACGCGGTCTTCTCTTGGTCCTCTTCCGACAGGCGTATCTGGTGGTAGCCCGAGAACATGTCCAGGAAACTTAGCGTCTCATGATTTGCAGTCGCATCGATCAGCTGGTCAATCCTGGGGAGGGGATATGTGTCCTTAGGACAGGCCGCGTTGAGGCTTGTGAAATCGATGCACATTCGCCAAAGGCCGGACGCCTTTCGCACGAAGACAGGGTTGGCCAGCCACGTTGGGTATTTTACTTCCCTGATGAATCCTGCCTTCAGCAAGCGCTTCACCTCTTCTTCTAATGCCATCTGCTTTTCGAGGGAGGCGTTCCTCCTCCTTTGCTGCACTGGCCGCGCCTTGCTTTTGATTGACAGGGAGTGTTCGGCCAGCTCCCGCGGGACGCCCGGCATGTCCTCCAACGTCCACGCAAATAAATCTTTGAATTCTTTTAGGAGGGACAAGAGCTCTCGCGCCTGCTCCTCCGCCAAGTGAGCTGCGATTCTAACCTTCTTCTCTGGCTCGTAGTTGTCTAACACGACCGCGACGTCTTCCTCGGCCGCTTCGGGGCGTGGATGACTTCCTCTTGTGTCCACTTGATCAACCTCCAAGTTCCTGATGGTGGCTTGGTAGCATTCTTTGGCCTGTTGGGAGTCACCAAGGACGCGTCCTATCCTGCCCTTGGCGGGAAACTTAAGCATCTGATGGCAGGTAGAGGGGACCGCCGAGAAGGCTGACAGGAAACCGCGCCCCAATATGGCGTTGTAGGCGGAGGGGCAATCCGCTACGTGGAAGTCCATGAGGCGCGTCTTCGTCACCTCCGGCCCCCGATCGTCACCTGGAGAGTGATGGAACCCAGAACCCTGACTTTGGATCCGGAGAATCCAACCAGACTGGTCGTGGATGGTTTGAGGTCCTGTAACCCTTTTTTCATGCTCTTGAGCGTGGAGTAGAACAGGATGTCTGTTGAACTTCCGTTGTCGACCAAGGCTCGGGTGACTTTGAACTTCTTCGTGCGGAAAGAGATGACCAACGGGTCTTCTCCACATTCCTCGGGAGCCAGTTCTGAGGGTGCGAAACTGATCTCGACTTGTTCTTTCCTGTTCACGTTCATGCATTGCACCAAGCGGTCCCCTGCTGTCCGATGGCGCTTGTGTCCTCCAGCGATGGTGATTATTTCGACTCCCTCTTCCTCTTCTCGAGGCGGGTGTCGATGAGGAGGGGCGTGCCTTGGCGGCGGCGGAGGTAAGCGCTCCTTGCGGGACGTTCGCTCCCTTCTCGGCGACCTGGATCTCCGACGTCTGGGCGTGCGGGACCTTCTCCTTGGGCTGGGCGACCTGTCCCTTTCTTCCGTTCTCTCCCTGGGATGCCCCCGTGTGTCCAGGCGGCTTTTCAGGTCTCCCGGCGCCAGGTATTTGAGGCTGGCCTTGAACTCACGGCACTCAGTGGTGTCGTGAGTCGGTAGCTGGTGCCAGTCGCACCACTTTTGGTCGTCGTCCCTCCTTTGGCGGGGACGCGCCTCCCGGGCTTTGTTCCCATCGCGGCGTCCGTCGTCCTCTTTCTCTGACGCGAACACTTCACGCCTTCCGTCCCTGTTGCTGAACCTGAGCTTGTAGTTTCGTCGCTCGGGCGTGCGCCCCCTTCGCTTTGGCGACCCGTTCCTTCCTTTTTCCACTTTGCTCGATAGCGTTGGGCCCCCCTTCGCGCCCTCTTCGGCGTTGAGCTCCTCTTCCAAGAAGATAGCCTTTCGTACCAGGCGGTCTAGATCTTGCCAAGACTTGATGTTGTGCTCCTTCTTGATGAGAGACCTCTTTAGTTCCCGGCTGTGCGTCGACATTCTCAGGTTCCCGGCGGCCACGCTGGTTGAGACATCTTGGACCTCGCAAGCTATTGTATTCCATCGGTCGTAGAAGTCGGCCAAGGTTTCCTCTTCTCCTTGCTTGCAGTTGATGAGGGTGGAGACCGTGAGCTGCCTCCTGCGCTGAGACGCAAACTTCAAAGAGAAAAGGGTGGCGAACTGTTCGAAGTTCTCGATTATCCAGGCCGGTAGGGACGCGTACCAGCTTCGGCACTGCCCCCCGAAAGTGACTGGAAACGCCTTGCACAGATCAGCGTCTGAGGCGTTAATCAGCTGCATCTTGAGCATGAAGGCGCTCAAGTGATCCGACGGATCTGAGTTTCCCGTGTAGGCAGGGAGACCGAGCGATGAGAAGTTTGATGGCACCTGGGTTTTGAAAAGGCTCTTCGCCAAGGGGTTGTGCAGCACGTTGTAGCCTTTAGGCTTCCCGTAGCAGGGGCGTAGGTGCTCTTCGAGGAGGTCAAGGTGGACGCCATCAGCATCTTCCTCCCTGTCGGACTCTCCGTCTTCTGTGCGAGGGGGGCTGGGAGGCCTTTCTCCGTCCACCCCTTTGCCCTTGCCACCTCGCATCTTAGAACTTTCGGGCTCGTCTCTTGTTTTGAGCATGGTGAGGATCTGGCTCAAACTCTCTTGCATACTGGTGATCTGCTGCCCCTGGTCTCTCACACGCTCTTCCATATCCTTTTCTTCCTCAACCGTCGGCATTTCCAAACCTCTGATACTCTCCCCTCCGATGACGTCCTTCACTGGAGTTCTGAAGTTCCCTTCCATCTTTCTATTTAAGCGCTCCGCTCCTGCCCCACGGTGGGCGCCAAATTGTTTGTGCCTAGTAGATACTAGGCGGTTTGTGGAGCTGGGGCGAGGCGCCTGATCTTGGATGTCGGGGAGCACTCCTGATACTCTGCAAAACAGCGGTCCGGGGCGGTTCACCCGGGACACTCTCCGAAGCTTAAGTTAGAGAGAGAAGTGGGAAGATCAGAATTTATGTAGAGAGATGAATAGTAGTTGGCCTTACCATTAATGCACTCACCCTCTATTTATACCTGGTTAAAGGGTGGTTGGGGCATTAAATGCTGTGTCGGGCGCCCGTTCAGGCTTTTTGGGGAATGTCGGGCGTCTTGGGCAGGCTTTCAGCCTTTCTGCAGGCCGCCTGTGGCTGGCAATAAATGCTCAGTCTTGCCTGACACCAGATACGCATCTTCAACGACTCTCTGCCCCTCTACGCTGATCAGTTGCTTTATGTCAGGCGCCCTTATCTTATTCCTCGGGTTCGCAGTCGATCATGGACCGCCCGCTGACTCGGTCTTTCGATCGGGCCTGGCCTCCTCATTGGGCCTTTAACTCCGACTCGCTTCTCTTGGGCCCGAGGCCCAAACACGCTCAACTATGCGGCCCAACATAAGTGATGTGGGTGCTTAGTCAACCTCCTTAATAACCTGATCCTCTCTCCTATTATAAAGTTTTATATGTAGTTTAGACACGAGACATGTATAATGATGGTTGATGCAATGCTTCTTGTGTGTCGAAAGTACTATTTATGTTAAATAATGACACAGCAAGTCTTAATGAACTAATTCGTCAAAAAAAAATGTCTTAATGAACTAGTTATGATAACGATTGAAAATGATTTCGTGAAAAGTGCGAAAATTAGAGTTAATAGATTAATTTATTTTATACAAAATATTACATATTAAACATCAATGCTATGATAATTTCATTTAAGCCCATTTTAACAACATCTAAATTCTGAAACATGGTCTTCATAATTCATTGGACCACGCTATCAAGGACCTACCAAAGATAGAGTAAAAACCTCAAACTTGAGACGTGGTTAAAAAAACTAAAAAAGTATTTCTATTTTTTATCCAAACCTTTTTCAGATTCGTTTATATTATCCAAATCTATCAAAATTCTATTAATTAGCCAAATCTATCATAATGCATCAAAATATTAGCCATTTTTACGTTAACGTTAATAATGTTGTAACTCTTTTCTTAGCTAAAATACTAAAATTTTGGAATGTCGACCTTCATGTGTCTCTTCCAAATCAGTATCATGTTGCCAAGTCAATATTACTAACAAAATTGCTAATTGGAAATTAACATTTGGCTAATTCTTAATATTTCGATAGGTTTTAATAATATAAAAGAATCTGAAAAATATTTGGATAAAAAATAGCCATTATTTTTTTTAATGAATGATGATGTATGTTAATATAGAAACTGATTATTCCAAGAACTTGACGATGTAACAACGACCATAGGCTAATTATTCCACCGCTGATGTAGAAAGTGCAATAGAGGATTGTTTTCTTGTGGACCGATAGAAATCCGGATCACAATATCCCAAATTGTTGTTAGGATTAGAAATGGTGAGATCAATTAGAGATTGATCTCTTCAAGGGATTAGAAATGGGAAGATCAAGAAATGGAATTAGGAATTGGGGGAAGAAACAAGAAGGGAGATTAGGGATGGATGGCCAAAGATGGAAATGCAACAATCAAATGATTAGGCCAATATGTGCAATTTAAAGTTCCAAAAAACACAACTTGATAAGGAAATTGTTACAATTTGTAAACTAAGACACTCAACTACAAAGAGCAGTGTAGTGTAGCGACCAAGGTTGTCAAATCGGTTTGTGCCAGTGTGCAGGTTTAGCAAGTGAAATGATTCGACCGGTGGTACATACCGGTTGATGTCGGTTCATGCCGGTTAAAATTACAAATAATTTACAAATACTCATATTTTTAACACGACATTTAACGTCAATACCTAAATATTTGTACTTGAATCCAACAAATAACATCAACATTTAACTTTTTAACACATAAAATAAATAATAAATTACTTTTTATCAATTAAATTCACTAAGATAAGATCTTTTTACTTGGAGATTCGTATATCGGTCATGCCAGTCATACCGGTGGTGTCATACCGGTTTTATGATCGGTACAGGTTGAATCAGGTTCAACCAGTGGCACACCGGCCGGTGTGACAACCATGGTAGCGACATATTTAGACTATCAGTTATCTCAGTGTTGTTCCTTTCCGTTGCCACTCCATTCTCCTTACCACCAAATTTCCCTCGCCTTCTTCGCTCCTCACAGTTACCGTTTCCCGCTGACTCTCACTCAGTCACTCCCCACTCTTCGCAACTCTCTCTCTCTCTCTCTCTTTCTCTCTCTCTCTATCCACACACTCCATTTTTCTCATCGCATACAAAAACTCCCTTCAATCCCTTCTCCCCTTTCATCATCACCAACCTGTAAATTACTAGACCAGAAAGAAGAAGAAAACAGAGGAAACCCCCTCCCCCCAATATTTGCCCGGGAACTCGCCCTCGCCCCCTCAGGTATATCCCTAAGCTCCATTTTCCTTTCTGGGTTCTGATCAATTCCCCCCACTTCAGGGTTCTGATTGAAAGTTATGGTTTGAGGAAAGATGGATAGGTACCAGAGGGTGGAGAAGCCCAAGGCTGAGACCCCAATAAACGAGAACGAGATTCGAATCACTACTCAAGGCCGCATGCGGAATTACATCAGCTATGCCACCGCTCTTCTCCAGGTTTTTTCCGCCTACCCTTTTCTTCATTCATTTGATTATTACGTGGGGTTTCGTGCTTTCCTTGGTTGGTTTGATAAAGGTTTGAGCTTTTTTATGTTGTTTCCAGGAGAAAGGTTCGAGTGAGATTGTGCTTAAAGCAATGGGCAGAGCTATCAATAAGACTGTGATGATCGCTGAGTTAATCAAGGTCCTTACTTGAATCATTTTCCCTCCCCCTCTCCAATCTTTTGTTTCTTCACTTTCCCCGCTTTGATTTCATTGTTTGCTCATGGAGATGTTTTGTTTCTTAATTAGAGGAGGATTGTTGGTCTACATCAGAACACTTGTATTGGATCAACTGATATAACTGATTCGTGGGAGCCACTAGAAGAAGGCCTTCTTCCGTATGTGGAAGTTTTTGTTAATTCTTGTTCCTCAATGGAAATCATCTTGCAATGTATGTTAATAGCTTGTGTGTTGTCATTGATTAATAGTCTGGAGACTACGCGGCATGTTTCGATGATCACAATCACGTTGTCGAAGAAGGAGCTCGATACATCCTCCCCAGGGTAAACTCTAACCTTAAACCACAATATAAAATTTCTTCATTCAAGTAATTTCTGTGGGGATTCTGTGGATGGGATGATTGATGATGTCTGTCAGTGAACTCGGTACTTTAGTTTGCGTTTCTTGTTGAAGGTTCGCTTTTTCTGAATGACTGATGAATCTGCATTTGGAGTGTGGAAGTTGAATGATTCTGGAAAAATCTTCCTGAGTTCTTGTGATTTTGTCATACTTGCAGGTATCAACCTCCTATCCCAATTGAACAAGTGAAACCAATTAATGAAATCGCAGATGATGGAGGTAATAATGACATGGATTCACCTTTTCTTCTTTTGAAGCTTTTTGCACTTGTATGGAAATGTGTGGGGTTCCTATGCCTTAATATTTCTCCTGTAATTCAGAAGGATCACCAATGATGCGAGGTAGGGGGCGTGGTAGAGGGAGAGGAAGAGGCCGAGGTCGAGGTATTCACTTATGGACTTCGATTTAATCCACTTCACTCATGAATGAGATTACAGGAAACAAATACCAAAGATTTTCAACTGTGTGTTTTATGTAGCATTTGCTGAAGTGCCGACTGTGCGATGATTCCATTCGATTATTGTGTTTGTAGTCAATTACAACAGTGTAGGTGACTATAATGGCGGTGATAGTTGGGATGATGAGCACGATTATGGAGGAAGAGGGCGAGGCCGCCCAAGAGGTGGTCGTTTCTTCCGAGGGCGAGGGCGGGGTAGAGGAAGAGGGAGAGGCTACGGTGGTGGTCAGCAAGGAGGAGGGTACTATGACAACTATGGTGAACCTGAAACCTATGTGCCCCAAGTTCGTGGTAAGTTTTGACGAGCAGAAACACTGAACTCCAACAAAGCTTATCATTCATGGATCATAGCGTTCTCAGATTCACTTATTTTCTTGGGCTGGTTGAATATTGTTTTGCTCAAGAGTTCCCCCTAGAAGTTGGCCACTCTTTTCTCCCCCTAGTTAGTTTCTTTATCTATGGCGATGCAGCTTATCTCTAGATACAATCTAGTTTAGTACCTCGTGCCAGTTTAAGTATTTTCAAAGCTTTGTATATATGTTATGATGCTTTCATTCACAATGTGGGATATTGCAAGGCTTAGCAAGGGAATTCGCCCCATTAGAAATGGAGTTACACAGACAACGAGTATGCAATCACTTCGGGTGTTAATCTGTTGCCTCCACTTGTGTCTATGTTCACTTGGATTTTTGCAGCGCGTGGACGTGGAAGGGGGAGGGGACGTGGACGTGGTGGTGGTCGTAGTAGCTACGAAAGACTCGATGGTCCAGTCCAAGCACCAGCAGCCTGAGGTAGACACGGTAACCAGTTCGCCAATGCAGTAGTTTGGTGGATGCCCTGCTCTCTACTATACAGCATCTTCCATGGGGATGATGTTCTTATGGGCTAGCAAATGTCTCCCCTTTTATAATGGTCTATCTCTTTTGGGTACCCTGAGTAGCATCGAAGTACTGGTTTCTTTTTGGGCTACAGTGGTGCTTGCAATTTTTGCCTCTGGTTTTTTTCTTTCTTTTAGAGCAAGGCAGCAGACAGAGGAAACTTGTACATCATTATCTTCCCATTTTTCATCTTCCTTACCATTTTTGTGGAAAATTTCATTAAGAATAATAGATAGAGCAGTTGGTATATCATTAATTCTTTCAAGAACAGGGGAAACTTGTTGTTCAAGCAACTATGGCGAGTGCATGCTGATTTTGCCCCTCTCTCTTGCGTACTGAACATACACGATTTTGTTCTTGAGAAAACGAGGCGCCCAATCATCACATTATGATAACAGACTACACAGTTCAGGGTCAAATGAGCCAAGTCGACCCAAGTTTTGACATAGGTTGAACTCAGCTAGTTAGTAAACGAGTTCATCTTTGTGTTATATAACGGTAATTAGTGTACGGTCAATCTACGATATAGTTTCTCTTTTAAATACAAATGAGACATATTCGACAACGTGCTCAAATTCTTAAACAGTAATATGTGGTGAGATATATAATCTAACAAACTTATGAATTATCAACAAGCCAATGATAAACTATTAATCGATTCACTTATAAGTTGCTACTAGCCATACCGCGTCGAACCAACTCATAGTTCAAAACAAGATAGCTCACAAGTTGCGTTTAAGAAGCCACCGAGAAGAGTCGACTCACGAACCTTACAAGCCGAACAAGATTTAGCTCAACCTCGATTAATTAATCAACGAGCTGAATATCGAATGAGCTTTTCTCGATCCGAACGCCGAATCCCTCGTAAACACAGTTTAGCTTATTTGCAGCCATACTAGATAGGATGTTCTCAAGGACTCAGGTTGAACCTAGATCCTTCTCGGACTATAACAGCTTGGAGAACACGAGGCCCAACAGTGGAGGGCACACGTTTTCTACTCGTGGTCTTGCCGTGAGGTTTAAGGAATAATACTTCCGTAACCCGTACTTAAACCCCTCAACGTAATATATTATATTATACATTTTTTTCATCAATATAGTCAAGCCTACGTGGAAGCAAAAGATCAAATCAGTTTGTCAAAAAACTAGTTGATTTAAATAATTCGAGTTGTTGAGAACCGTGTTTTTAATTTGTACTATACTGGTGGTCCAATAATAAAAAAAATCTCTTATCAAATGCTAAATCAATAGACGATTTTTAGATAGTACAAAATGATTGAACTATACGATTAAATCATGATTTCAATATAAAATTTTCTACTTCAAACTATTTTAATAAACTCTCCAATATGATTTTATGATCGTTGATTGGGAGATATAGACAAGAAATTACTCTTAACATATAAAATCGTTAAGATTCAAACACAAAATTTACCTATCATAAAAAAAAAACTCGATATCATGCCAAAAAAACGTTTATACACAAAGTTTACTGTACAAATAGAAGATTAAAACAAAACTAATATTAAGCCGGAGAAGCTATCGAGATACAAAATGTAATAATTAAATAAAATAGTTAATTGATCCGGACGGTGGCGCTGTAAATGCTCTCCAACGACCGCCACTTCCTCGTCTTCTTCCGCCGCCGGCTGACCATCTCCTCCTCCGCCGTGGCCACCCTTTCCTCCGCCGTATTATTCCTCTTGTTATCGTTCCCCGGGATGTTGACGCTACCGGCGGAGGAACTCTCGTCACCGGGGAGGACAAAAGTAGTCCCGCCGTCGCTATTGGCCGTGCTATTACTGAGTTCCATTAACTGCTCCGCCGCCTGGATGTCGGAGTCCGTGATCTTGGCAGCGGCGGCGGCGGGGGAATATTCTTCTTCCATTGTGGGTAGTAATGATCCGTTGATAGCCATTGCTGTCTGGTTTTTAAAAAAAAATGTAATTCGACGCTCCTTTATTTATAGAGGGAGGAGATTAGTATGTCGGCGGATAAAAACGTTACACCGTCATAATTAAGGAAACAGCTGGTTTAATTACACATTTGGTACCTGTAATATTTGTATTCCCTTTGTTGTTGTTATTGTTGCAAATGCGATGCTAGTTTAGTCTATCTAACTAGATTTTTTTAATTTCAGACAGAGATGAGTTAATGATTATTCGGTTTACACGCGATAATTCGTGATCATGTTGTTTTTGGATAGAAGTTGATTTGTTACGACGAAGTGAATAATAGTTAGTTTCGATTTGGTCAAGATAAATTTTTATAGTTCGTTTATGGTTGGTGGTGGGCATCTCAATTTTGTTCCAGTCTTTTATTACTTGGTGAGAAGAACAAATTTTTTGGTTGATGTCCTGAAATGATAATATAAAAAAAGTTGATGACCGGTATTGAACTTTATCATATATTATTTATTATATGAAGCATCGCAAACTGAAGTACTCCCCCCCAATTTTGGCGGACCTAGGGTTTCTTCTCTGCTCAATTTTTTTCTTCTTCTTCCGCGGTAATTGTGAATTGATTTCTGCTTCTCGCTCGCCATTCTTTCGCTCATTCATAGAGCGATGGATACAGCTTCCCTCCCTCGCATGCCCGACGAAGGTTCATCCTCCGACGAATCGCAGCTTGGGTCCGATTCGAAGAGGCAGAAGGTCGAGGAATGCGACCACCCTGAGGACGTCAAGATTGAAGAAGCAGAAGAAGATGACAGTGATGATGGCTATGATTTCGCTTCGTGTTTCGATTTCTACGTGTCAGTTCTCGACACTGAGGTGAGATCGCTACTGCTCGTATAGTGTTTCTCTGCTTCATTTGTTTTGGGTTGAATGGTTTGTCTCTTGGTTGGCTGAGTGCCATTATCATATAGGGTTCTCTGGTTCATTTTCCCCCCGGTTCATTGAGCGATTGGCTGTGTTTGTTCAAATTGTTTTTCCCAGGGTGCCGAGTGTCGATTCCCTGACCATGGGTTTCGTCACATGGACCTTGAGGACGCTGAAGAAGAAGCGTATCATGTGAGGAATGTGGAAATCTGCCAAGTTTGTGATCCATGGACAGTACAAAATGGGGAATAAGGTGTGTGTGTGTGTCAAGCTCTTTCCCTGCCCCCGGCTCCCATTTCAGCTATGGTTCTTGTTTTGTAGAAAGTAAATGAATGCCGATGCCTTGAACAGCTGAAATTGGTTAGGATTGAGAAGGCTAGCTCGCATTTGGTAAATGGGTACAACTACTACATCACGTTCTCCGCCGAGACTTGGCCAACTAGGGAAATCAAGGTGTACCAAGCAGAGGTTTATTGTAATTTTATGGGGAAGATGGTAGAGACCACCAATTTCAGGGAGAAACCCCCTCCCCACCAGCAGCAGCAGCCCCAGTCTTCAGGCACTACAAGTCAGCAGGTGACCATCCGTTGTTTTTTACCTTCGTGTTTTCGATGTTCCCAGCCAGCAATCTTGACTAGGAATATAAATATACCCTTTTGTTTTGTCATTTTGATTATGTACAGGTGCAAGGTTTCGGCTTCTCTGGCTTGAAGGAAAGAAGGATTCCTACCAGGGTGTAACTTAGGAGTTTGAAGTGTTAGAAGATCTGTGCTTTCAATAATCTAGGTATGAACTGACCAGTCTCTAGGTTAACTGATGTGCGGGTGTTTAAGTCGGTGGATGTGTTTGTAAGTAGCTTTAAGTTATGGGTGACTCTAGTTATGCTGTGTTTTACTTTGACGTAAAGCTTAGCTTTGGACTGAGAACTGGTTTCGGGGGAATATTCTTCTTCTTCTTCTTCCATTGTGGGTAGCAATGATTCGTTGATAGCCATTGCTGTCTGTTTTTTTTTTCTTTTAATATAATTCGACGCTCCCGTGTTCTTTATATATAGAGGGAGGAGGAGATTAGCAAGGAAACCGCTGGTTTAATTACACTTTTGGTACCTGTAATTATTTTCTTTTGTCGTTATTATTGCCAAATGCTAGGTAGTCTATATCTAACTAGATTTCAATTTCAGATAGGGGAGTTCTTATTATTCGGTTTATATGACAGCTCGTGATCTTGTTATTTTTTGGTTTAGGGTGGGTTGTTATGATGAGGTGGATAATGGTTATTTTCGAGTGGTCCTCCATCGTGGGAGCTTATTGGTGAGTGTTCTGGTGGACTTATGGATCCTAGTCTCATTAGGAGCTTCTGTGACCACGATGTCTATGCGCTTTGGATGGGGATTACAGATTGAGAGGTCATCAATTGCTACAGTCGTTCATTGTAAAAAAAAAAAAAAAATGCTACAGTCGTACATAGGCGGTTGAGTATCTGGGTAGCTACGTGTTTACACATGTTCGTGCGGAGAATCTGGTTCAGCAATCAGGTCTCCAGCACTTGATCTACTCTATGTTCCGCAAGATAGCGATTGACGAGGCTTTAATCTCAGCTTTTGTAAAGAGGTGGCATCCAGACACGAACACTTTCCACTTGCCTTTTAGAGAGATGACGATCCTCCACGATGTTCAGTAGTTATTGCAAATTCTTATTGAGGGACGACTGATGAGTAGGACTTCTGCGCAGAGTGACCATCCGGAGGTGGGTTTGTGTGCGCTTCTTGGGATGAACTCGGATCAGCTGAGTGGTCGGTTGGAGGCCCCTGGATATGTTAGTAAGGGTAAGTGGTACGACATGGGTGGTTTTCTTGCGGAGATGATGTCCAGACACTTGCAGGCGGGACACATGTGACAGAGGCGCAGTCGTACTTGTTGTTGCTGTTGGGGTCCACTTTGTTTGTGGGCAAGAGCAGAGACGGGGTTTGGCCGGTAGTGAACCTATTTTTGTACGAGTTGGAGGAGGTAGATCAGTACATTTGGACGTCAGGTACACTTGCTTGGTTGTACAGATACCTTGGTCAAACGTCTCGTGCTGGTGCCAGAGGGTGGCTGGTTGTCTAGTACTTTTCGGGTTTTACGCCATCTCACTTCGAGCCACCCGTTGTTAGACTTAATGAGGCTTGGGCTTCACGATGGATTAGGCAGCCGACACTTGATTCTGTGGCTGATCTCAGTGTGAGGTTGACGTTCTACCGTCGAGCTCTTGACAGCTTGACCCCCTTCTGATGTGTTTTGGACACATTTCCATCAGAGGTCTCATCAGGCAGTTCGTCGCTCTTTGTACACTAGAGTGATCTGGTTCGCTGATATAGGAGAGTTCTATGATCTAGCCCGTTGCCTCCGACAGTTTGGATACCGACAGATGGTACCGCCTGCCCCTTCACGGCCTCAGCGAGCAGACTGACCAAAGGCACTTGGTGGATATGTCATTCGGACTCCTGAGAGTTTTGATGCTGCATGGGATGCTCTGCTATCCCACATGGTTCATATATACATGTACTCTCAGCCCTGGACGACGTATCCATATGAGACTAAGATCGACTATCTTGATTGGTTCGTGGCGCACTCTCATTGTAGAGTCCTGCAGGATGATGGAGATGCTGATCGACTAGTTGACTCCGCAGCGATAAGATTTGACCACAAGATCATTAGTCTATTATAAATATACTTAACATGAAACTAACAATTGTTCTTGTTTTTTTTTTTTTGTTCAGCGTGCTCGCGACCTTTTTTACACGTTTGCACCTGCGGCTCGAGCAGCAGCAGGGACTGCGAAGGAGTTTCTTGAGCATTATCGACGAGCCTACAGGGCACTGCACGGAGTGCAGGATGTGTGGAATGAGTACTATGTCTCTCATGGACTCCCTCCTCCAGGGGATTTTTAGTTGTTTTGATGTTTGGATCATTTATGATTTGTACTATTTGTGTTTAGATCAGATGTTGATGTTTAGATCGGATGTTTATGTTTAGACTGCATGTTTGCATATTTATTTTTAGATTGGATGTTTGACTACTTATGTTTAGATCGGATGTTTATGTTTAGACTGCATGTTTGTATATTTATGTTTAGATCATATGTTTGACTACTTATGTTTGGGTTGGATGTTTGCATACTCATGATTAAAACATCGAGGGTAGATAATGAAATCCATAAGTTCATGATGATAAGAAAGAACATAAACAAAATGTTCTGATAATGACACTAGGGTCATTTAAAATACAACTAGAAAAACAACATACAAATAAAGCATTGCAACACTATGCATTGTTGTGTCGGTGATGTTCTTGATACAACACCTTTTCATGGTTGTGAAACCCTCTATTAGCTCCGGTTACACGACTTGTCACTCCTACTATGACCGATGTGTTTTGACCATTCTCTTGTCATACTTCCTTAATACATATCTGAAACTGGCAATCAGTACCATTCGAACTAATATTCCCACGCGTCCCCTTCGTAGGGTCTGGTTTATAAGACTTAACGATCCTACTGTTTCTGTCGCAAAACATACAGAGGGCAGTATGTTCAACCTAACTAGTTTTGTTTTCTGGAAATGATGTTCGCCTTCAAGACCAATTTCAACTTAACTCTTCCCTGGGATTGGCTTTTGGATCTCTGGGAGTTATACATTTATGTATTGATCGAGCGGTACGCGTTGTAGACGAACGACATGTAGCGGTAGGCAAAGGCCAAGAAGTGTCGGGGAGTCAGTTCGTACCTCTGCGCACTGGTTCTTAGATCACTTACGCAAATAGATAAATTTCGTCAGTTAACTTCTTTCTTCCTTACCAGACGGATGTTCAAACCCATTCACTGGATACCAACAGGATGTAGTGTTGTAGTATTCGGTTTCCATGGTCCTCTAATAATAAAGAACCCACACTCCTGAGTGATTGCTTTTGCAGCTAACTCCGCTAACTCCACACTTGCATAATAGATCCCATTCTCAAATTCCTATGTGTAATCATGATCGGCCGGTAACCACTCTGACATTTTTCCTACAATTACAATATAACACATCAATATTCCTGTGAACCTAAACGCTAATTCCAAGTCTTAACCGCTAAATTCAACTCCTAAACTCTAAATTCAACTCCTAAGCTCTAAATTCAATACTTACACGCTAAATTCAACTCCTAAACTCTAAATTCAAGCCTTAAACGCTAAATTCAACTCTTAAACACTAAATTCAACTCCTAAACTCTAAATTCAACTCCTAAAATCGAAATTTTTCGAAAAATTCCAAACATAGACTGTGGGCCGAAAATTTCCGGCGGCCGGAACCAGGCAGGGCCGACGGTAATCAGTGGCCGGAGCCAGGCTGAGCCGAAAACATTTTGTGGCTCAGCCTGGCTCCGGCCACAAATTTCCGTCGACCCGGCGTGGTTCCGGCCGCCGAAAATTTTCGACGGGTCCAAGTTCCGGCCGTCGGAAAATTTTGGCATGTCGTCTGTTCGTTGGAAATCGTCGGAAAAATTGTTCGAAACTACAAAAAATTGACGCACCTGCTTAGTGATGATTCATGGATGCGTGTCCGCATTTTACGTCGAGGATCGGCTTTCCTGATGATTTTTCGGCGACTTTTCCGGCGAGCGTTGATTTTTTCTGATTCAATATGTTTTTTGAAAGTTGGATATGTTGTAGATTGTGAAATTCCTTAACCAAAGATGTACATATATGTTTTTTTTTTTGCGGCAAATAGCAATTTGGTTGGCGACAAATAACAAGCCCCAAACTAAGGCACCAATGCTTTAAAAAATAGTAAATTTCCTCCACTTTAAGATGCAACACTTATTTATTTAAAAAAAAAAAAGATGCAGCACACTAGTGAATGAGGCATTACTCCACTTGCCAACATTCTTAATATGGAGAAGCTTCACTAATATGTATAACTTTGAACTCTTACAACCATCATGTACAGATCTTTCACATAGTAGTGAAGTTAGATAGTATACATTTTGGATTACAAATAAACTATTCACCCGACCAAGGTAAATAGCTATTACATCACCCTTATTTTCTCTCAGAGTTGCAATTTCCCTTTCAAGGAAGAACATCAAGGATCTAACCATGTTTTGATTCAAATTAAAGCAACAAAAACTATATTAATCGACTCACTCTTAAGTTTCTTGTCCAAATAAGTTTTATAGTACTGACAACAACACAATAATATGCCCAACATATGAAAATATACTTCATCCCTACTCTCTCAAACTCAAGTAAGCTTTTCAACTTGCTTTCTACAGCTCAAACCTTTCACACATAATAACAACAACAACAACAACAAAACCATGGTCAATATAGCCTTTTTTATTCCCTTCACTGAACATGGCAGTTGCTATTGTTAAGTCTAAATACCAAAATTGGTTGGAACCAACCTCCAAAAATTGAGTACGTTAGAAACAAGCCAGCCATCGATGGTGTTTGGGTCTACGGAACCATGTGTCAATCCTTCTTGGCGCAATGAGTAATCTTACTTTAAAAGTAATCTCAAGTTAACGTCAACATCTTCATACAACATCTCTAAAAGTGAGTGTTTTACCCCCAACACCTCTCCTTGCAACATGTGTTTTCGCTTGGGTGAGTCTAGGTTGATAAAGTGTTATCCAATCTCCGAAGGCAACAGAAATGGAAGAATTAAGGATGACTTAAATAATATCACTTCAAATATTAATGATGTCAACTACTCTAGAGAAATAAATTAATTGGTCGTGGGGCCATTTCTTAAGATTGAGCAGAGTCAACTTGGTTATTACTGGTAACAGATTTGCATTATCTCTCCCGAGGATCCAAAATATGGTTTCACTACTTTGAAAAATACGAGAGTTGTCTCAAAATCATCATCTTAAACAATGAACTAAGAGAAGAGCTTGTGTTGGGAGAATGAAAGAGAATGAGAGACAAGATTGTTGTGGGCAATGTGGTACGTGTGTGTGTAGAGTTTCTTTTGTTGTATAATTTGGTGCCTTTGTAGATTTTCTAATCTGAATAATTAGGAAAGAATTTAATTTCTTGTGACTATTGTAAAGATGTGAGATGTTTTTTTCTCATAAAAAATAATATGTATAGTATACCCTTCTCAATTATAGTTCACAACAATGAGTCAATGACAAAGTTTTGACACGCTTCACTTTAGATGTGTATCGAAAGGTTTGTCCACCATGTTTTGGCTAAGAAAATTTACAATGTCAACTTCTTTTGAGCATAAAGAGAGACTGATGGAGGAAGAAGAGTCTAGAATTTTTTATTTGCATTAATTTGGCGAGAGGTTATTCAATTTGGCCAATCAATTTGGTGAGAGGTTATTCAATCCCTCCAATTGATTATTACAACATATCGGAGGTGTAACGCTGGTGAGATTTATGCCCTCCGGGATCTCTCGCGCCGTCGCCTGGTTCAAGCTCCCGACGAAGAGTCTAGAATTTTTTATTTGCATTATAGTTATTTTGCAAGAATCACATGTAATTATGTAAGGTGCTTAATTCTTCCAACACTGACTTCGTCGGGAGCTTGAACCTGATGTGATTGAATTGAACCATCCCGGCTAGTAGCATGAGTATTAGCAGCTTCAATTGATTTATCCAGTGCTTTCAGCTCAATGCATTTGAATCACTTATCTTTATCATCTATTGCAGGTGATGATAACACATCAAGGTAAACATGATCCACAGAGAATAGAAGTGGGGGCAAGTAAATTTTCTCAGGAATCACAGAGACCAACGACGCACTTCAACCCTAGCCCGATTCAGTCGACGGACTCTTTCATCCTCGTCGAGACTGTTCGCTTCCGATTCCGGCGCCTTGGTCGAGGCCCCCGAACAAATCCCCGAACAACAGCATCGTAGAAAGAGCCCCGGAGCTTCCCCGATTTTGTATTCTTACCGTCTTTTCTTGTAAATTTTCTCAAGTCCCTTTCACCGCCAATCATCAAGTGTCTTTTATCGCTCACCGGAGGCTCGCCGGATTCCATCTTCTGTCCCGGTAACCGCCAACTCTTGCAAAACTCATTTAATACAATAATTATTGGGTTTAGTAACCATTTTTTCTCAAATCGGTTACAAAGCTTTATGCTCATTTAATAGAATAATTATTGGATTTGGTAACCACTTTTTCTCAAGTCGGTTACAAGGCTTTATGGCCAGAAACGGCTAGCGCCGGAAAAGCCTTAATTATGCTTTTAAATCGTCTCCTTAATGACGAGCTAGAGTGTTTTAAAACTCTAATAAAGAGAACCTTTCAAGGTTGTTGCTTTTGCCAGCATAGTGGGGTGTATTCAAAGGGCTTCCGCAAATAAATATGCTCTCAAGGCCCTAATTAATGCAACAATTTGATACTAGAACAGATTGACCAGCAATGGATTGCTCGAAATTCCCATTTGAAAAAAGACTAGGAATATCCAAGTCCCGCCTAAGCTCAAAATTTTCATATGACAATGCATCAAAGTCATTCTTCCCACAGTAGTGGCCCTTCAAACTCGTGGAGTCAACTGTCTCAACCGATGCCCTGTCTGTTGGAGACATCGAGAAAGCATTGAACATTTATTCTTCAGATGCCCCCTAGCCATCAGATTGTGGACTTTAGTGGGATTGAGCAACTTTATTGAGACCGCCCAGACTGTTAACTTTAGTCTATGGTGGCGACATGTCATGGTCTCCGAGACCTCCCCATTCCACATTCTCCAATGCATCTGTTTACTTTGGAGAATCTGGAAGTCTAGAAATAAAGTGACCTTCGAATTTATCAAACCTCATGTCCGTTCCCTAGCCAGACAATTCTACAACCAGGTCCTCGAATTTTCCAATCTTCTCCTTCCTCCTCCGCCCCGCAGCTCTCTTATCCCAAATCATCCTGCCGCCACTTGGGTCCCTCCACCAGAAGACTTTTTGAAGATCAACGTCGACGCAGCTGTTTGTGCCACCGGTTGTTCGTCTGGGCTTGTTATTCGTGGGTCAGACGGGCATGTGGTGCTGGCGCTCAGACTGCAGCATCAAGGAATATTCAATCCTTATCTGGCAGAGCTTCTAGCTTTTAGAGACGCTATCTCCATCGTAGCCTCAAGATCCTTGACCCAAGTGATAGTCGAAGGTGATTCCGAAGTGGTGGTCAACCATATCCGTCAAGGCGTCATTGAAGACTCGATTGGAGGTCCGGTGCTACGAGAGTGTCTTCAGATCCTTAGCTCTTTGTCTGTTAGTATAGAGTTTAGGGCGGTACCTAGATCCGCCAACAGTGCTGCCCATAGAGTGGCGCGTAAAGCACAGCTTTTGTCTCGTGTAGAGCTATAATCTTTTGATTTTTTGGGGTGGCTTCTTTAGATTCTGTTAGGGGTCCTGGGTAGAATTGTAAGTTTAACTATTTTCTTTCATTGATATCACTCAGAAATAAAAAAAGAGAGACTGATGGACATGGCCTTTATAATATTAAAAGCGTAAGGAAGAGAGAGAAATAACGTTAGACAAAACACTTAAAGAGAATATTCAATTATCAATGAGTCATACCTCAAATTACAATAAAAAATTTAAGCATAATATATCAAGTCTGGTATGAAACGTGGAAACAATTGCATCATTTCTTGCACCATGACGTCATCCACCAATATAGAACCTGATGTCCCATTGTCGAGATACCACGTCTACAATTAAAAGAAATAAATACGATTACAACATGGTTCAGCAGGTGCACAAAAAACTATACTTAAGTGCCAAAAGTTATTATTAGATAACTAACATCTTTCTCATGTGTTAGGGTATAAAGGCGAGAAAGATCAATTGATATCCAACCCAAACTAGCAATGACAAGTGTGTGATATCCATAAGAAAAGAAAAACAACAAATACTAACCTACATACTTCAGATAAGTGAAGAAATGAATCTTTGGGCCATTTCTTGAGTTCGGTTTGAGTCAACTTCATTATTGTCAGTCGCAAATTTGCATTATCTTTCTCTTCGCATTATAACCAACTAAATTCATAAAGTTAGTTATGAAAATATACTTAGAGCAATGTGATTATCCATGAGAATACTTGGAAAGTCATAGACATGACACTTTGACTTGCTAAAGTGGATGATTAAGTTAAATTCACATCAAAGAACAATTCCAAATCATCCAAAACATTTTTCAACTTTTCAGTATACTTTTAAAATAACTTTTGATAACCAATGGTTTTGGCTCTATTGCACCATGTATGTGTCTATCCTTCTCAATTCAACGAGTAAACTTGCTTTAACGAGTGATCTCAAATTAATTTTAACATTTTTGAACAACATTTTTGGAAGAGTGTTTATCATCAACCCCTCTCATCACAACACGTGCTTTCGCCTAGCTGAGTATAGGTCGATCAGTGATAAATTAAAATCAAAAGTAAAAAGCCAACATAATTAAAGAAATTAATACAAAAATAACAATGTCAAATACTTACTTCGGATGACTGAAGGAATCAGACTTTGAGTCATTTACTGATATTGGGCTGATTGAGCTTTGTTAATACCAATGATAGGATAGACCGAGGATTGTAGGGAAGGGGTAAGTATCTATAGAGTTTTTTTGTCATTGAATTTGGTGTCTCTATATACTTTCAGTCGAAATGAAAGAGTTCAATCTCTTGTGTCTATTGAAAAAAGGTGAGATTTTTTTTTTGCATAAATACCTTATTTGTATAACATACCTTTCTACTATTCTTTTTATCAACTATGACCCTCTTATCATCCAACATGTCCTTGTACTACAGACACATTATTAAATGTGCATTTCTACTGAAATTTCCGTCTAACACAGTTAATTATGGGAGGATCACAGTTTGAGGAGTACATTTAAGTATGTTTTATCTCTATTCTTCTAATGACAATAACCTAGTATTATATGTACTTACTTGTGAAAATAAAGCCAACTATTGAAGAAATATACTTGTAGCACCATAACACTTATGAACAGAAATATTAAGTGTCTATTTTCTAGTAACATAACAATTAAGCAACAACGAAAGAAAAAGCAACAAAATTTATTAAGGTATATATGAAAATAAACTTACAGTAGTGTGATTAAGTAAGTATGATTTTTACTATATGAATGTAGACTTTGAGCAAGCCAGCGGTAGCGTTGAGATCAGGTTTGGAAGGATATTACCTATAAGACAGCTGAGTCTACTGTCTGTGTGTTGGAAACAATGTCATGGTAATCTATGTACTTCCCATTTGAATATCAAATCCCTAAGTTGCAAGATTTTGTTACATGATAACCTAGTGCTACTTTCTGCTTGTTAGACCTTCAAATTCGCACTTTCAGATTTCCTATCTTCCAGACAACCTTGTTTTTCTCCATCTCTCCCTTTATAAACATTTTGGCTAAGATCAAGTTTTTCTCTTTCTCTAGATCAGTCTATAAAGATTTGATTTGATTCAAATATATTTTTAGTTCATTCAAGTTTTTTACCGTATAAACACATTCTGTCATTCCGTAATTCGGGGGGGGGGGGGGGGGGGGGGGGGAGCACACACAAGAATTTTCCATTAACGAGTAATATCTTTTCATTTCTCATAACCTCATTTTCCTATTTACTATGAATACAAAACAAAATTTCACCAATACAACTGCTACTAAAAACTATTGTAATTCATCCTTCATACAAAGAAGCTATCAAAGAGTCAAATTAACAAACTTATTTATCTTTCAAGTGCAAGAGAAAGTTGCCCATATAGGGTTCGAAATACCCCGAAGAGCATCATTTTGAAGTAATAAGTCTTCCACTACTAGACACAAAACAAGAAAGCTTTTTTTGTGTGTGTCTATCTGAGACATTATGAACCTGATGTCATTGGTTAGAAAGTATGGAACTGCTTAATGAATGTTTGGGGACTTCACAATATTTTGGTATTCTGTCTATTCCCTAGACTTTAGGGTTTGCTTCTTCTAAGATCAAGTGTGTGTTGAGATGGAGCCATATAAATCTTTGCAGATTTTGTTTTCCTTATTCTGCCCATTTTCTCGATTTGTAATCTAAGTGTGGGTTTGCTTATTTGCTGATATGAAAGTGCACATTATGCGTTTCTTCCCCTGCATGTAACATTCCAATCACTTTTTTGTTTCTAAGGAAGTTAATTGACTACAAGAATACCGAGAGATGGAGATTTCATGCAACTCTAGGTCCAGGAACCTATTTATGATGAACTTGACCTGCACTATGTACTGTGTAACCATGGATTGTGCTCATTTTGTGCAACACATTTGTGCTCACTACAAGTCGTACTCTAAGGTATAATACATGGAGGCCCCATTTCACTACTATTTTATATTGCTTTTATACAATTTTTCTTGTCTTATGACTGTTATCACACTGTCCTGCTCATGAATTTTTAAGTTTTCTTCTCTTATGATTGATAACACTATGTTCAGCCTTTGAATTTTAGTTGCATTTTTATTGGAAGTACTCTACTTTTCTTCTCCATTTTCTCTATTAGTTTTTAGTGTTTTTATAGTAGTTCTTTCTTCTTCTCAGGGCAAAGCTGGCAAGGCTCAATTTGGGGGTGTTAGCTTGGCTGCAGTCAAGCCTGCAAAGGTATTGTTTGGTTTACTTTTTTTTATTCCTTTTGTTTCATTTAGGTGATCAATCAAACATTCAGAATACCCTAGAATCTTCTGGACTACCACTCCTACTACTCAAAAATAGAAAATTTTGGTTGTCTTTCTTTGCACAAATGAATAATGTTATTCCAAGAAACACAGAAGTGACCTGAAACCCCCTCTTCACACGATCCGACATGGCCATTCTTTGATAAGATCAACCTTAAGTTCAAACACAACCCTGTCGGCAATGAGTTCATCAGAGATAGTGCGAAGAGTCGGACGAGTTCTATAATTAGGATGCAATGGTCTATAACCACTAGGGAGAGTCTCGAAGATCCAGTACAAGTAATTGTCGTAATATACCCCAAGATTTTGGGTGAAAACAATATCAAAATGCAATGAAGTGGCTTCATCATGAATGTACCTTTCGAAAGGTTGTATATCTCCACATCCTATAATGGGGAGGATCATGGTCATAAAATTCGACAATCCTAACAAGCTTATGAGATTTCCCCTTATTATCATACCCCAAATCCACAAGCAAGGTCCAATGTCTATTTATCTTAATGGAATTCAGCCTCCTAGCAAACTGTTGATACCGGTGTTGCAAACCTCTTGAGACAGTGAAAAGTTTAGAGGTGAATGTGTATAGCAACTATATGATGGTTTGTTCGATAAGACACAACAACCCAGCTGATGAACCAAGGAGATGTTAAAAGGAGTAAGGATCCGAGAGATGGCGAAGAACAATTGAGGGGATGGTACTGGTGGCATCTCTAACAGATCTTTTGGATCCAAGTCTTTGTGGTCAAATTTTAGGAAACGATAACTTGCTCCAGAAACCTTGTGAAAGAGCTAAATAGTAAGGACTAGTCATGAACTGAACAAACGAGCTAAGGATCACTGCTCTGAGCCACCTACGACATACTGCACTAGCTTTTCCTCGCGTAGGTTTTTGTTTGCCATATTTGTGAAACTAACTTACTTGGTCATAAGTTTGTGGTATGCAAACGCTGGAGGTCTGACTCCATTGAATGAGGGGGGTACTTTGTTTTTGTTAGAGAGGAAAGGATACAACAAGAAGGAAAACATTAATTGCAGGGGGCAGAGCCACAATTTGAGTGTCGAGAGGTCGAGAATCGAAAAAACTACATTGTTAAAGTACAACGTAATCGATAGAAAATTATTATGTGTAAATCATACAATTTTTAACATACTCATACTAATATCCAATTAATAACTCACACTAAAATCGAGATGAGATCAATGAACGATATATTATTAATTTATATTTTTGCATGTTCTACCCACACATCTCGCCCCCTGTCCCAGGAATATAGCAACAAATCCGCTGGACGAAGGGGTCCGCCATGCCCATCAACCAAACCGATATCAACCGCCCTACCAGCAGAAATCCCGACCTGTAATAGATATCCAATAAGATGTCATGAATGAGGTTGTCCCGATTCTTAATGCTCACAGAACCAACACATGATACATTTCAAGTACTACAACTTTTATAAAGGGTCTGAGGATATTTAAGATTTTTTTTATGATAAGCAAAAAAATTATTTCACCAAAAGCCCTAATCAAATAGCATTAACTACAATTGCCCAACCAGAGTACAAGTTCCTATAGTTCTTAACCACTTGAAAACATTACAATCTAACTACCAACGCAGACAAAAGAAAGAGGCATAAGAAAGAAACATAGGGGAGTCCAGATTTCAGGACTGGAACTAGAGCTCTTGTACATTCACATCAGCAACCAACTTATTATCTCCCGAGTATTCTCCATTCCAACTCACTCTACATCTTCCCCAACAGTTCTCTTACTATGTGAGACTTTCCCCATACAACCTTTTGCACCTCTCCCTCCAAATTTCACTAATCATCATATTCCACACCAATCTTCCCACCTTACAATTTACATGCTTTGAAACATGCCACTGCATTCATCATACCATCCTGTCATTTTGCATCCCACATGTAGTGCCATGAAGTTCCAGTAAACATTTTACGTATCACCTTCTACACAAAAATACAACTGAAGAAT